AGAACCTGACCTCCCTCTACAGGAGAAGCGGACGCTGCTGGAATTCCTAACTGGGTATCACCACGTCTTCAGTTTGGAAGATGGCGAGAGAGGTGAGACAGACCTAGTCCAGATGGAGATAAACACCGGCGACGCCTCTCCTATGAAGCAGCCAACTCGACGAATACCTTTTACTTTGCGCCAGGAAGTTGCCAGACAGTTAGACCAGATGCAGAAACAGGGAGTGATACAACCCTCAAGATCACTGTGGGCCAGCCCAGTTGTTCTCGTGAAAAAGCGCGATGGGAGCCACCGCTTCTGCGTTGATTACCGGGGACTCAACTCTGTTACGAAGCCAGACTACCAAGAATAGAACACCTGCTGGACCAGCTCGGGCAGTCAACATACTTCTCATCCACCGATCTTGCTTCAGGATTTTGGCAGATCCGTATGCATCCAGACTCGCAGGAAAAGACCGCATTCACGACACAGCAAGGACTGTTCGAGTTCCGAGTTATGCCCTTTGGACTCACTAATGCGCCTGCCGTCTACCAACGTTTGATGCATCAAGTCGTCACTCCCCTCAATCCAAGTTCTGGACCGGACGTCGTCTCTGCATATCTGGACGATATACTAGTGTTTTCTCGCACTTTGGATCAACACTTACAGCACCTGAAGACCGTCATCGACAAGCTGTCAGAAGTCGGCCTGAAGCTGAAACCCACTAAGTGCCGGTTCACACAGAAGGAACTAGAGTATCTTCGCCACGTGGTCAGTCGGGGAGGACTGAAGACAAGTCCTCGCCTAGTGGAAGCTGTTCAACAGTTCCCAGTTCCAAAGTCGGTACACGATGTTCGCAGGTTTCTGGGGCTGTCGTCTTACTACCAGAAGTTCATCCGCAGCTTTGCAAAGATTGCTCGCCCGTTACATCAGTTGACCTGTAAGAATGCCCGGTTTATATGGACTCCTAACTGCCAGTTCGCCTTCGAGGAGTTGAAGGAGCATCTGACTACCCCTCCAGTGTTGGCCTACCCCTGCTTTCAGCGAGACTTCGTGCTAGAGACGGACGCCTCTATCGGTGGCATCGGAGCAGTACTTGGGCAGTACCAGGGTGACGAGAATCTTCATCCAGTCTCCTATGCCAGCAGGGCTCTGAGTCGGTCAGAGAGAAACTACGGGATCACGGAACTCGAAACACTTGCTGCCATCTCCCATTTTCGTCACTTTCTCTACGGGAAGCTGGTGACCGTCTTTACAGATCACACTGCGGTGAAAGCTGTTCTTGAGACTCCCAATCCGACCGGCAAGCACGCACGTTGGTGAAACAAGGTGTATGGATGTGGGGTGAGAGAAGTCAGAATCGTTTACAGAGCCGGTAAAGAAAACAAGAACGCAGATGCTCTCTCTCGGAGTCCAGTTTCTCCAGCACCACAAACTGATATAGCTGAGGATGAAGTGCAAGTCGTGTCAGTCTGCATTACTCCGGAGGACCATTTGGGGTCTAACACTGGACCCCACTACAGTGGAAACTCCCGTGAGTCGGAATTAGCTGCCGAAGACGAGGCGTTGGGCATTGATCTTTGAGTACAGTGATAGTGACAAAGAGGGAGTAGCTATGCTTCCACCCACTAGCTCCAACTCAAGTCCCAGCCCACAACCTTTTGATGGCGAACCTCCAGTCGAGTGCCACTACCTCACTTCACATGATGACAACCAGTCAAGAGGAACGGGAAGAGAACTCTCACAGTCAAAACTCGTTTGCCATGGAACAGAGAAGAGACACAGAACTTCGGGAGATCCTAGACTACCTGGAGTGTGGAGCACTTCCTGATGATGACAGCCGAGCTCGGAAGATTGTCCTACAAGGGTCACAGTTTGCCGTCATTGATGAGATCCTGTACTTCATCGACCCTAAAAAGAAGAACCAGAGAAGAGTGGCTGTACCAGAGCACCTACGTCAACAGATAATGAGGGAAGTCCACTCCAGCCCCTATTCTGGCCACTTCTCGGGCCAGCGCCTCTACAACACACTGACTACTCGATGGTGGTGGGAGGGGATGTTTAGCGATGCCAAGAAGTTTGTGAAGTCCTGCCCTGAGTGTGCCATTGTCATGGAAGTGGTAGAGTGAACAAGCCACCGTTGCATCCCATCCCTGTATCCAGACCATTCCAGATTCTGGGCAATCTGCCGATCAAGATGGAATGGACCACATTGACCACAGTCAAGAGCAAGCTGAAAGGAATGGGACCACAACCACTGATGAGTCAGAGGATGACTTAGAGCCTGTTACTGCAACACCATCGGAAGGTCCCTCTACCAGTGATGAGAGCCTGGCTCGTGATGAGGCCGTTCCTCCAGACGTAGATCTGACCCTGCAGACTCAGCCTGAGGAAAGTCCCCAGTCGCAAACCAAAAGCAAGGGAAGGAGTACCTCAACCCAAGGCGTGAGACAGGAACCAACGAGCTGATGGACGCCTCCGGGAGAGTCAGGCCCCCACAACGCCTCTTCTGACCTCTGCAAGTTTGAGGACGAACTTATTCCGGGGGGGGGGGAGTGGTGTAATAAACTCGGACTACCTGCCTATTCATCTTTTGACTCTTTCAATTTTTTGTCTCGAGCGGGCGTAAGAATTCTACACCCGCATAATTTTTCTGCTTTTCGAATGCCTAAAATTCCTGAAGAAATTCCAGCATCATGTGCCTACCCCTACAACCTAGTCCTCGCAATGGCTGATTTTTCATTGGCGAGCGGAAGCGAGCTAACTTAGTGGTCCGAACGGCGCGATTTTATATGTCACCGGCACCGTGCGTCGTCCAACTGTCATGCTCCAGCATTACGCGCTTCTTTTTAGGGATTTCATATGCTGCCTGAATCGAGCGGAATCAGGGGAAACACAACACGACCGGCTCGCCTCCGAAGCTATCGACAATTGCTGCACAGTCCAGGGAGAGATTTTTCTACATTGCCACTTGCTCCCTCCCTATTCCTGCAAGACCAATCAGATTGCCGGATTATGCCTCATTCGTGCTGTCGTCTGACTGTTTTGGACTCTCGAATTGTCTACTGCGCTCGGGTCTAAAAGGTTGTTTCGGCCTACTTGGTCCTGTGCAATGTGTTTTATGCACACACAAGAGTGACTCATACGATTAGTTGTAAGCTAACAGGTAGATCTGTCTTGCTTCACGAAAGGAAAGCTGTGCGCCGACAGCACGTTATGCAGCCCGAACATCGCGGGCAAATCCCAAGTTTTTCACATTATTTTAATTTTGGTTTTTCCCCCAAAACTGACTTCCAAAAAAAACGTGTGCGCATGTAAGTTTGTAATGTCGCTCACAAAATTCAACCACTGCATATTCTACCTATACGTACAAGTTGGGAAACATATACACCATAAGCTGGCTTAGATGGGATGTTAGAACTCAAATTTGGAAAATTTACGATGTCAAAGTGAAAACTATCCCTCTTATCATACAGAATATTTCCCATGTTCTATAGTATATCTAAGTAGGAAAGTGTAGTTGGGCTCTCCGTAGTTTTCTTGAGCTGAAGCTCAGAAGGATAATATTATATGTCCTGTATCAGTCATCTATGTACCTCATTGTATTGTTAAACCTCCTAGCCATGAATAATTATAATTATTGTTCTTTATCAAGTTTTTCATGTACCTGTACTCAGAACAGGAACAGATTGGCCAATAATGGAGCACAGTCAGTGCCCATAGGGATGCCCACACACAGCCTATAGACCTTGTTACCTATATTAACATACACGTTATCTAAGAGGTATTCCACATATGTACGGTCAGGCTCTGTCTAGCAGATGACACATCTGACCACACCCACTTGCCATTGCTACGTACTACAAGAATGATGTTGTCTCTAACTCTATAAGCTTCCTAATATTTCAAGGCTTGTTTCAGGGAGTCATGTGGAATACTGGTATATAATGTAGAAATATCGTAACTATCACAATGTTTCGCTGAAGAAAAATAATTAATGTACTAAGAACCTGCTGTGAGTTTTCTATTACCCAGAAGCAATTCACACCTGTTCTACAGTAAATTCCATTGCAATACTGCCTGAAGTGGTTAATGATTGTATTTAGGCAACTTGTAAGCAGTTTTGAAAGAGTCTTTGTAGTACACCTATAAGACGCAGCTATAAACCGTAAGGCTGCTTATGTAATTTCGGTAACCAGTAAAACGATGGCAAGCATTCAAGCTCAGGCTTCACTACAATGTGATTGTTTCTCATATATAGAGCGTAGGTATTCCTTAATTAACCCTCGGCGCACATGCGCAACGAGGGTTACGGTAGTCGTTCTGTGTGTCTGTCTGTCTGTTACCACGTTTTCTGCCACCACGCGCAACAAACAGGCCAAAAAATGACACCAACGGGTTCAACGCTACACTAGCTTCATTTTAAAATTCGTAAAAGTAACGCATTCAAAAGTTATGGCGTGAAAAGCAAGTGAACAAGCCAATATGCATCCTTGATCTGCGTACCTTGGAGGCGCAAGACGTCACAACGAAGGGCGTGTATCGACTCCCGCATGCTATCTACTACTGCATGTAGCTAGCCCGTGTCAGACTCTCCGTGTGCTACTAGCGGGAGACCACGCATACTACGGCCGGCCCAGCCCAGCCCATCAATTAGCGGTATCGCGCAAGCGCAGTTCGCCGAGGGTTTGCACTTCAGTGCTTTTTTCATCTTTCTCCCTGGTAACAGGCTCATATGTGGTAGTAGCCGTGATCTCTCTTGTCACCACCTCCAAGTAATACTTCTTGCACACTACAATGACATTGTTGGCGGCCTTGTCAGCTGGAACTAACACATACTTGCTGTGTAACAATTTTAAGGACCATAAGTGCTTCTTTGATTTAAGGACATGCTTTTGTTTACTTTTAAACGACGCAATTTTCTGTTGAATACATTTATTAAGCTTATGCTCCTATGTACAGTATGTCAAGTTGGAAAAAACAATTCACAACTGACCGTTAACTTATGGTTGTGAGCCTACCTGCTTCAGCATTAAGCACAGATGTCACAGAGACTGCAAGTGCATTAGCAAGTTCAGTAGGAAAGCCAGTTGTTCCCGTCAATACCACACACACGGAGCCGGCTCTTCCACCTTCAGTGATACTCACAGAAGATGAAGCGACCTCAACCTCCCCAGCTGAAATAAAGATTTATGCAAAATACCGAACATCTCAAATATAAAAAGTAAGTGCGTACTGATTATTATAGGTATATATATAAGCATGGCGCTTATCACACATACGGAACTACAATTCCTGTCGTACGCACCTTCATTATCAGTGATTGTAACGGTAGCAGTGTCTAATGCTCCAACAGAAATGACGACAGTTTGGTCTGTCCCACTGATTCTAGCCCCAAACGCTTCATCTCCCTCCAAAAAGCTATCTTCCGTTCCGCTCACTGCCACACAATGAGAGCCATCAGTCGGAAGCGTTGTTCCGGCAGGAATGGTGACAGACGCACCCAGAGAAAAGTCACCAGTTCCTGCATTCACACAATTCCAGGTTAAATATACACACAATACTCTATGCATACATGATGATAAACACGCATATAGCCTACCTGCTTCGGCATTCAGCACAGATGTCACAGAGACTGCAAGTGCATTAACAAGTTCAGTAGGAGAGCCAGTTGTTCCGGTCAATACAACACACACGGAGCCGGCTGCTCCACCTTCAGTGATACCCACAGAAGCTGCAGCCACCACAACCTCCCCAGCTGAAAGAAAGCAAAAATGAAGCATGTGGATACGTAAGGTAAATGGGGGTAACTCCAGACACGGAGGTAACTCCGGACATGGGGCGTTGCACCAGCCTCGAAATTATGCGCTGCGAAAAAAACGCGAGGAAGATTTGTTAGCGCTTTGGTAGGTAGTAATCAAGTAAAATATATCCCAATCTTTCTCTTGTTTCTGAATAGCGAGTTATGTCCGGGTATTACCCCCTGTCCGAAGTTACCCCCATTTACCTTACTGATTATTTTATGTATTATACATAATATACTTGTGCGGCAGTGTTTCCCGGAGCATTATAACAACCGGGCGCTCCGCCCGGAACAAAAATCCAGAAAATGGGCGTGTACAATTATTGCGCAGGCATAAAATACAACTATATAGCGTGGTTACACTGTGCACAGTATATAATAAGCTGCTTAGAGAGTAAAACTTGAAAGGTTTTCGGCCAGTAGGGGATTTCCCAACAGGAAGTACTTTGAAACGTGGGTATCTTTCAGCCTGAAAGCTAAGGTAATTAATAATAACCAGTCTGTTTGATTATTACCCTGTGGGAAACACTGATACGGAACAACAATTCCTGTCCTACGCACCATCGTTATCAGTGATTGTAACGGTGGTAGTGTCTGATGCTCCAACAGAAACGACGACACTTTGGTCTGTCCCACTGATTCTAGCACCAAATGCTTCATCTCCCTCCAATAAGGTATCTTCCGTTCCGCTAAGTACCACACAATGAGAGCCATCAGTCGGAAGCGTTGTTCCGGCAGGAATGGTGACAGACGCACCCAGAGAAAAGTCACCAGCCCCTGCGTGCACACGATTCCAGGTTTAATACATATACACGCAATACATATGCATAAAATTATGATGATAAACTCGCATGAAAAATAAAACGTTTGGCTACAAAATAACACACGAATGGTTAGTTGTATGTACCCATGTACGGTATGTCAAGATGGAAAAAACAATGCATAAATGACTTTTAATTTATGATTGTGAGCCTACCTGCTTCAGCATTCAGAACAGATATCACAGAGACTGCAAGTGCATTAACAAGTTCAGTAGGAGAGCCAGTCGTTCCCGTCAATACCACACACACGGAGCCGGATCCTCCACCTTCAGTGATACTAGCAGAAGCTGCAGCCACCTCAACCTCCCCGGCTGAAAGAAAGATTTATGCAAGATACAAAAAATCAAAAATCAAAAAGGTGGATACGTACTACTTACGTACCCACACCATGGAGGAGAAGCTTGGCTCGGCCCTCAACCCCAACCGGGCAGAGATGCCTGGCTCCAAGAGAAAAGGCTCCTACGATCACGTGAGTGAACAACAACTCGGGTCGTATTATAGGATGACTACACTGACTAGCCTAATGGGGTGGGTATATTAGGCCCTTCTTGTCTAAGCACACAATGGAAAATACAGACAGTAACACTACAAAGATACACCTTTTCACTTCCTTATCCCATCCTTTATGAATAAAGGGGCGCTAGTTTAATGTTAGGTTTTCTGTATTGGACACTGTCCATATGCAGTATTGGCCTTCTAAAATCTGAGCACATTACGTATGTGCATATTGGTTTAGGAGATTTTCGTGATCTGTTTTCCTCATATTGTACTGCAGCCATCCACGCGACGTCAGACGATGCATTTTGAGACCAATCACATTGAGAACAGCACCACACACTCGCACACACAACCAGAGAGGTGAGCCGTTCATACACTACACTGTACAGTTTACACATACTTGCTCCAGTCACATTGTATCACTAAGTACGGTAGTACTTAGTATAATATAGGGATTGGCATGGTACCTAGCATTATAGATGTATGGGGCTATGATAGGGAGTTTTGTTCATCATCTTCTTCTTCTTCAACCAGCATAACTCAAAAACCGAAAGAGATAAAGCCATGAAAGTTTGTAGGAATGTACATATCGATAACCACATGTGCAACGTCATACTTCTTTGTTTGTAAACAATGTTGTTTACCGTAAAGAACAACAAAAGTGCCCCAGGCAATACCTAATGGGCAATACGTTATAATGGGTATACTACATGTGTCAGTGTAACTCACAATTGGTAAGAGTTACGTGAGCGAAGTTTGTATACACAATGTATTCAATAGCCAACATCAAAATCACAACATACATGTTAGTAAATAACAACAAATAGCCTCAGGCAATTTTCTTTAAATTACTTCTTCACTCCTCAAACTCGCTAACGGTACCACGCATGGAGATGTAACTTGGTACGCATGTGTGTAACATCGTTTCCATGATGACCACAACAACAAATAGCCTCAGGCACTTTTCATTAAAATTACTTCTTCACTCCTCAAACTCGCTAAGTACAGCACGCATGGAGGTGAAACTTTGTGCGCAAGTGAATTACATCGTTTCTATGACGACCACAACAACAAATAGCCTCAGGCACTTTTCTTTAAAATTACTTCTTCACTCCTCAAACACGCTAACGGTACCACTCATGGAGATGAAACTTGGTACGCAAGTGTGTGTAACATCGTTTCCATGACGACCACAACAACAAATAGCCTCAGGCAGTTTTCTTTAAAATTACTTCTTCACTCCTCAAACTTGCTAACTGCAGTACACATGGAGATGAAACATAGTATGCACATTATTTCCATGACGACAACAGGCATTTTTTATCCATTATTAATTTTGATATGGGCTTGCCCCCTTCCACAGAGATAATACGTAGTAGTATATAAAAATGAGTGGAGACAAGTAAATAAAAAATCCTGCGGATTAAAAAAAGAGTGCATATAGGGATCGTATAAAAGATAGGGAGGGTGTTTGTGGAAGCACAGAGATGCTAGCGAGGAGTTAGGACTCCCACGGGTCATTACAACAGCCCTATATCGTCGTATCGGTGCTTTACTGCTTCCTCGTGAATATATCAGCCAACCTTGCATACTTGAATTTTCTTTTCTTGCGTTACACAATTTTCCATGTTTCCATGTGTATATACATGTATATCCTATGTTATGGTAAGCTAATTACACTTCCACCAAAATGCGAACTCTATGGAAATGTAGCATGACAAATCTATCAAAGGTAATTAGTAAGTACTTCATTACCTATAGCAATATTCTACAGACTCTCTCATCACTCCCACTCCCACCCTACGAAGATTGAAAACTTTCCCTATCATAGCCCCATACATCTATGATGCTAGGTACTCCCACCGTACGAGGATATAGGGCTGTTGTAATGACCTGTGGGAGTCCTCACTCCTCGCTAGCATCTCTGTGCTTCCACAAACACCATCCCTATCTTGTCTCCCTTTCTTTTTATACCATCCCTATATATGCACTCTTTTTTTAATCCCCAGGATTTTTTATTTACTTGTATTATATATATATACTTGTGGTGCTTAATAAACATAAGAAATTAAAGTTCCTGTCGTACGCACCATCGTTATCAGTGATTGTAACGGTGGTAGTGTCTGATGCTCCAACAGAAACGACGACACTTTTGTCTGTCCCACTGATTCTAGCCCCAAACGCTTCATCTCCCTCCAATAAGGTATCTTCTGTTCCGCTCACTGCCACACAATGAGAGCCATCAGTAGGAAGCGTTGTTCCGGCAGGAATGGTGACAGACGCACCCAGAGAAAAGTCACCAGTTCCTGAGTACACACAATTCCAGGATAAATATACACGCAATACATATGCATATAATATGATGATAAACACGCATAAAAAGAGAACATGTGGCTACGAAACAAATAACAAATGGTTAAGTTGTATGTACCCATGTACGGCATGCGAAGTTGGAATTAACAGTGCAGAATTAACCGGTAACTTATGATTAGTAGCCTACCTGCTTCGGCATTCAGCACATATATCACAGAGACTTCAAGAGGATTAGCAAGTTCAGTAGGAGAGCCAGTTGTTCCGGTCAATACAACACACATGGAGCCGGCTGCTCCACCTTCAGTGATACCCACAGAAGCTGCAGCAACCTCCACCTCCCCAGCTGAAAGAAAGATTTATGCACGATACAAAAAAAATCAAAAATATAAAAGATGGATACGTACTGATTACATACAACTTGTGACGCTTATCAAACATATGAAACTACAATTCCTGTCATACGCACCTTCGTTATCAGTGATTGTAACGGTGGTAGTGTCTGATGCTCCAACAGAAACGACGGCACTTTGGTCTGTCCCACTGATTCTAGCCCCAAACGCTTCATCTCCCTCCAATAAGGTATCTTCCGTTCCGCTCACTGCCACACAATGAGAGCCATCAGTCGGAAGCGTTGTTCCAGCGGGAATGGTGACAGACACACCCAGAGAAAAGTCACTAGTTCCTGTGTTCACACAATTCAAGGTTAAATATACACGCAAAGTAGTAAATATACACATGTACGGTATGTGAAGTTGGAATTAACGGTGCCGAATTTTCCGTTAACTTATGATTAGGAGACTACCTGTTCCGGCATTCAGCTCAGATATCACAGAGACTGCAAGTGCATTAGCAAGTTCAGTAGGAGAGCCAGTTGTTCCCGTCAATACAACACATACGGAGCTGGCTGCTCCACCTTCAGTGATACTAGCGGAAGCTTCAGCCACCTCAACCTCCCCAGCTGAAATAAAGATTAATGCAAAACACCGAACATCTCCTATACAAAATGTATGTGCGTACTGATGATTACAGGTAAATATATAAGTGTGGCGCTTATCACAAATACGGATCTATGATCCCTGTCGTACGCACCATCGTTATCAGTGATTGTAATGGTGGCAGTGTCTGATGCTCCAACAGAAACGACGGCACTTTGGTCTGTCCCACTGATTCTAGCCCCAAACGCTTCATCTCCCTCCAATAAGGTATCTTCCGTTCCGCTCACTGCCACACAATGAGAGCCATCAGTCGGAAGCGTTGTTCCGGCAGGAATGGTGACAAACGCACCCAGAGAAAAGTCACCAGTTCCTGAGTGCACACAATTCCAGGTTAAATATACACGCAATACATATCCACATATGATGATAAACATGCATAAAAAAGAGAACATGTGACTACGAAACAATAAACGAATGGTTAAGTTGTATGTACCCATATACGGCATGTGAAGTTGGTGCAGAATTGACCGTTAACTTATGATTAGGAGCCTACCTGCTTCGGCATTCAGCACAGATGTCACAGAGACTGCAAGTGCATTAGCAAGTTCAGTAGGAGAGCCAGTTGTTCCGGTCAATACCACACACACTGAGCCGGCTACTCCACCTTCAGTGATACCCACAGAAGCTGCAGCGACCTCAACCTCCCCAGCTGAAAGAAAGATTTATTCATGACAAAAAAATGAAGTTGGATACGTACTCATTACTTATATATAAACTTGTGGGGCTTATCAAACATATGGAATCACAATTCCTGTCGTACGCACCATCGTTATCAGTGATTGTAACGGTGGCAGTGTCTGATGCTCCAACAGAAACGACGGCACTTTGGTCTGTCCCACTTATTCTAGCCCCAAACGCTTCATCTCCCTCCAATAAGGTATCTTCCGTTCCGCTCACTGCCACACAATGAGAGCCATCAGTCGGAAGCGTTGTTCCGGCAGGAATGGTGACAGACGCACCAAGAGAAAAGTCACCAGTTCCTGCGTGCACACAATTCCAGGTTAATATACACACAATACTCTATGCATACATGATGATAAACACGCATAAAAAGGAAAACACGTGGCTACGAAACAATACGCGAATGGTTAAGTTGTATGTACCCATGAACGTTATGTATAAACGGTGCAGAATTGACCGTTAACTTATGATTAGGAGCCTACCTGCTTCGGCATTCAGCACAGATATCACAGAGACTGCAAGTGCATTAGCAAGTTCAGTAGGAGAGCCAGTTGTTCCCGTCAATACCACACACACTGAGCCGGCTGCTCCACCTTCAGTGATACCCACAGAAGCTGCAGCCACCACAACCTCCCAGCTGAAGCAAGCAAAAATGAAGCAGGTGGATACGTAAGGTACATGGGGACTCGGGAACATGTGCGTTGACGCAGCCTCGAAATTATGCGCTGACCGATACGCGAGAAGAGATTAGATTTTTGTTTAGCGCTTTGTAGGTAGTACTCAAGTAAAATATAGTCCCAATCGTTCTCTGTTTCTGAATAGCGAGTTATGTTCGGTGTACCAAACCCCCTGTCCGAAGTTACACCCATTTACCTTACTGATTATTTATGACTATACATAATATACTTGTGCGCAGTGTTTCCTGGAGCATATAACACCCCAAAAACCCGAGCTCAGCCCGGAACGAAATACTCCCCAAAAGGGCCGTGTACAATTATTGCGCAGGCATAAAATACCAACATATAGCACGGTCACACCACTGTGCGCAGTATATAATAAGCTGCTTAGAGAGTAACACTTGCAGGTTTCGGCCAGTCAGTAGGGGATTTCCCAACAGGTAAGTACTTGAAACGTGGTATCTTTCAGCCTGAAAGCTAAGGTCATTAATAATAACCAGTCTGTTGATTATTACCCTACGCGGGAAACACTGATACGGATCACAACATTCCTGCTACGCACCATCGTTATCAGTGATTGTAACGGTGGTAGTGTCTGATGTTCCAACAGAAACGACGGTACTTTGGTCTGTCCCACTGATTCTAGCCCCAAACGCTTCATCTCCCTCCATTAAGGTATCTTCCGTTCCGCTCACTGCCACACAATGAGAGCCATCAGTCGGAAGCGATGTTCCGGCAGGAATGGTGACAGACGCACCCAGAGAAAAGTCACCAGCTCCTGCGTGCACACGATTCAAGGTTTAATACATAACACGCAATACATATGCATAATTATGATGATAAACACGCATGAAAATAAAACATTTGGCTACAAAATAACACACGAATGGTTAGTTGTATGTACCCATGTACGGTATGTCAAGATGGAAAAAAATGCATAAATGACTTTTAATTTATGATTGTGAGCCTACCTGCTTCAGCATTCAGAATAGATATCACAGAGACTGCAAGTGCATTAACAAGTTCAGTAGGAGAGCCAGTTGTTCCCGTCAATACCACACACACAGAGCCAGCTGCTCCACTTTCAGTGATACCCACAGAAGCTGCAGCCACCTCAACCTCCCCGGCTGAAAGAAAGATTTATGCAAGATACAAAAAATCAAAAATCAAACAGGTGGATACGTACTACTTACATATTATATATATATATACTTGTGGTGCTTAATAAACATAAGAAATTAAAATTCCTGTCGTACGCACCATCGTTATCAGTGATTGTAATAGTGGTAGTGTCTGATGCTCCAACAAAAACGACGGCACTTTTGTCTGTCCCACTGATTCTAGCCCCAAACGCTTCATCTCCTTCCAATAAGGTATCTTCTGTTCGGCTCACTGCCACACAATGAGAGCCATCAGTCGGAAGCGTTGTTCCGGCAGGAATGGTGACAGACGCACCCAGAGAAAAGTCACCAGCTCCTGAGTGCACACAATTCCAGGATAAATATACACGCAATACATATGCATATATGATCATAAACACGCATAAACAAGAGAACAAGTGGCTACGAAACAAATAACACACGATTAAGTTGTACGTACCCATGTACGCATGTGAAGTTGGAATTAACGGTGCAGAATTGACTGTTAACTTATGATTAGGAGCCTACCTGCTTCGGCATTAAACACAGATGTCACAGAGACTTCAAGAGGATTAGCAAGTTCAGTAGGAGAGCCAGTTGTTCCTGTCAATACAACACACACTGAGCCGGCTGCTCCACCTTCAGTGATACCCACAGAAGCTGCAGCAACCTCAACCTCCCGGCTGAAATAAAGATTTATGCACGATTCAAAAATCAAAAAGATGGATACGTACTAATTACATACAACTTGTGACGCTTATCAAACATATGAAACTAAAATTCCTGTCATACGCACCTTCGTTATCAGTGATTGTAACAGTGGAGTGTCTGATGCTCCAACAGAAACGATGGCACTTTGGTCTGTCCCAGTGATTCTAGCCCCAAACGCTTCATCTCCTCCAATAAGGTATCTTCTGTTCCGCTCACTGCCACACAATGAGAGCCATCAGTCGGAAGCGTTGTTCCCGCAGGAATGGTGACAGACGCACCCAGAGAAAAGTCAACAGCTCCTGAGTGCACACAATTCCAGGTTTAATACATAATATATGCATATATGTATTATAAATATGCATAAAATGATGATAAACATGCATAAAAAAGAGCAAACATGTGGCTACAAAACAATACACGAACGGTTACGTTGTACGTACACCTGTAGGGAATGTCAGTTGGAAAACAGACAGTGAAGAATAGACTGTTAACTTATGATTAGGAGCCTACCTGCATCGGCATTCAGCACAGATGCCACAGAGACAGCAAGAGGATTAGAAAGTTCAGTAGGAGAGCCAGTTGTTCCCGTCAATACCACACACACTGAGCCGGCTGCTCCACCTTCAGTGATGCCCACAGAAGCTGCAGCGACCTCAACCTCCCCGGCTTAAAGAAAGATTTATGCACAATACAGAATAAGGTACGTACTGATTATTATATGTTGTATTCGTCTAGCTTATCACACATATGTAACTACGATCCCTGTCGTACGCACCATCATTATCAGTGATTGTAACGGTGGCAGAGTCTGATGCTCCAACAGAAACGACGGTACTTTGGTCTGTCCCAGTGATCATAGCGTCAAATGCTTCATCTCCCTCCAATAAGGTATCTTCCGTTCCGCTCACTGCCACACAATGAGAGCCATCAGTCGGAAGAGATGTTCCGGCAGGAATGGTGACAGACGCACCCAGAGAAAAGTCACCAGTCTCTAGAATACTCGAGATGTCAGCACACTTCCAGGACATAACATAAACCACGCAATACATATAGCATACATCTCATGATCCAACACATGCATATCTCATAATACGAGAAGCATAGTGGGTGACTACGTGAAACGATAAACAATGGTCGAGTTGTACAGTGACCGAGTACATGTACGCATATAAAAGTCGAAGTTTGCGCATTGATCGGTTGTGCGCATCGACATTTACACCAAGTTAACGTATAGTGTATATACGAGCCTACCTGTTCCAGCATTCGTACGCATACATGTGATAGTCACAAACCACACACTTAAGATCAGAGCTGCAAGTGCTACTTTTAGCAATCACAAGACGCTGTAGGCGATCGATGCCATAGTGTTTGTCCGGTCATCCACACACACACAGCGCTGGCTGCTCGTGCACCTGCAGTGATACTAGCGAAGCGGCACGCCACGCCAATCATAGCCGACCGACCTTGAGCTGCTTAAACGAAGCATTGTATGCGCAGATGCAAGAGAGATAGGATATACTGAAACAGGTGGATCAAACAGCACCGTGACTTCACACATACTTATCTGCAGTGTAGACGCGACGCGTTATCAACGTACGAACTACAATTCTGTGGTACGCACCATCGTTATCAGTGAAATCGACACCTCACAACGAGATGCATCGTATCCAAGACAGTTGAACAGAGTGGACCACAGACTGGATGTCCACTTCAATATGGATTGTGTAACGGTGTTAATAAGAAAATTTATAAAATGAGATCCAAAAGCTAGAAGACAAAGACCGGATGACATAGTGATGTGATACAATGGACGATGTTTGTACATCTTCCATCTGACATTCTTGTCTCGTGTAAATTTTACTCCTCAGAAGCCTATATTGTAGTCCTACTCAACAAGCGTGTCTTAGTGATGACACTAGAGTGGAGAAAGGATTCTGTAGAGGTGCCTAGAACGCAGCATTGTCGTGAGGGAACATGGAAGTCATAGACTACAAATGCATCACCCTTGCAAACTAGTCAGACACTGTAAGGAGGGCTATAGCTATGTATAAATATAATACACAACCTGTCACACATGCTTAAAAAACAATCATAGCTCCACAGCATTGATGGCGATGAGTCACTCGTGTTTGTGCGGCATTATCATCATGGATTGTCTATAGCCATTGTAGCTCGTGCAGTCGAGAAACATGCTATGCACTATCGCCATCTTACACGGTCTTGTGTCTCTCCTTTGATCTTATATGGCATCCACATCACATTATAGATCATTCACGACTTACACTGTTATTTTGTACTTTGCTTGTTCTGACTGTACTCGTTGTCTAAACTGCACAACACAACATCATCAAGAGATTTTGGAAAACTACATTTCCTGAAAGAATCAATATTACTATTTAAAACATGCATGCTGTTTTAATGATATATGGCTCAGACTGATAGGTCAGAAGCGGAGAACTGAAGTGAAACGTGGAAATCTCAATGTAGGGCATATGCTGCGAACCTGTGTCATCCAGATAAGATGAGAGCGTCGGTAGACGCTCTATTTAGGGATGGCGCCGTAACAATCACGTGATCGCGTACAAAACGCCTCAAACGCGCGAAAATGACTCCTAGGCTTTTATAAATCACTAGTAAGTCTACTACACCGCTCATATCTCTCGTTCTTCCTGGCGTCAAGTCACTCACGGTAGATCGTGGACCTCTTTCATGGGAGACACTTAACGACGCCATTTGCTGCTAACTCAGCAGGGGCCTGCGCAAACCATACATAAGGCCTGCCTAGGTATACCCAACTACATGTCACTACAAATGCAAGCGTCTAGTGCTTTCACTTTGCCATGCAGTTACAATTTCTTGATGGTCAACCTCTCTACAACAAAATGTAGTGCCGTCATACCAAGCTGTTCATTAATAGACAAGTGGAAAAATCAAGATGGAGGGGGATATAGGGATGGTTTGAAGCACCAAAAAGGAAGAAACAAGGGTCGTTATCATACACAAAACTACATGACACCAACCCTATATCTTTTTCTGTTACCTTGCCTATGAATCAATGGAACAAATATACAGGGATGGTGTCATGTAGTTTTGTGTATCTTTGCCGTATAACGGCCCTTGTTTCTTCCCTTTTGGTGCTTCAAGCCATCCCTATATCCACCTTCATTTTTCAGATTTTTCCACTTGTACTAAGTACTACCGTACTTTTTGATACCGTCCTATGTGATTTACCCTCGATGCGCATGCACAGCAAGGGTTACTGTAGTTGTCGTGTGTGTCTTACTCGACATCTCACTTCACGAGACATGAATCGCTCCACAAACAATAGCACGTATTCAGCGTCAGGTATAGGTAGAAAAATATGTGGGGTTTTCTCTGAATATGCTGCATTCGAGAGTTATGGCGCGAAACAAAGCCAATATGCTAATTAGAACATGCTGGTCCACTTGCTCTGTGTATCTTGAAGGAACAAGAAGTCACAACGAAGGGCCTCCTGTATGCTATCTACTACTGTAGCTAGCCCATGTCAGGCTCTCCGTGAGCTACTAGCGGGAGACCACGAGTAAATCTATACTCATAGCCCAGCCCATCATAGTGGTACCGCGCATGCACAGTTCCCCGAGGGTTTGCACTTTAGTGTGCTTTTCATTAACCATCGGCGCGCATGCACAGCGTGGGTAACTGGTTGCCTGAGACACTAAGGAGTAGTGCCTCACACACGTTTCCACATTAAGCTTTGAACTTTATATGTATTTGCATACCCACAACACATAGTCATTCATTCTCGAAGTGTTGCAAGTAAGTGTTATACTCTAATTAGTTTTGTCAGTCAAATAGGATTTCCCAAACTCTAATGTTGACCCACAAAAATCGATAAAACAATGCGTCCAACTATGTTACACAGACTACTCACCATCGTTGTCCTGAACTGTAACAGTTGCTACTCTAGTAGCTCCAAGATCAGCTCCTGCAGTGGCTGTGATTTCCACAGTAAACATTTCGTTGCCTTCCAGGTTGAAATCATCATCAAAACGTATTCCAAAGCATTTCATTACTCCACTATCCTCTGTGGCCAAAAAACTGACTACCGACACGGATACAGTGAAGTCATCTGGGGTGCCTGTATAAAAAGGGCTTAGCCATATTTCCACCTCCTCATAAAAAGGACTCACTTGCAGTACTAGGAGTAGCAACAAGTGTGACGTCAAAGTCGACCCCTAACGTCGTCCCGCCTCCAGCCTCATCTGCCTGTACACAGACACCCTCAAAATTGGTGTCTCCCTCAATTCCATTGTACGTGGCTGACGTCAGTGTCACTGTAAATGGGAAATGGTGAAAATGCAAACCCTCGGCAAATTGCGCATGCGCGGTACCGTTAATTGATGGGCTTGGCTATTAGTTGCGCCTCGTGGTCATAGCTCGCGGAGACTCTGACACGGACTAGCTACAGTAGTAGATAGCATGCAGTAGTCGATACACGTCCTTCATTGTGAGCTCATGAGCCTCCAAGGAACACAGAGCGAGCGGATCAGGTCGAGTGCGATTTTCGCTTGTTTCTCACGAACGCAGTCGTTTCAGGAAAATCGCCTTTCTATATTTCAGGCTCGCGTAGTTGCCAGAATAAGCGTCGACACATCACTTGTCAAAACTGTTTACGCAATGTTGCGAATATTTGTGGGCAGTGCGATGTCGCGCATGCGTTGCATACGTTTGGTTCCGTGAGTTTTTAGACGCAAACTACAAACCTCTCATTCTTGCTTTTTGCTTCGTCTGGGCTCCCGAAGTAGCGGCGGGGAGAGAGGGTTCTTGCTCAACTACAACCACGCTGCGCTTTCGAAATCGGTCGCTGTTTAGCTACATTACGGCAGATTTCCTACCGGCAAGGTGAACGCGAATAGACTGTAACCCTCGCTGCGCATGCGCGCTGAGGGGTCCAAACCCTCGGCCCAAAAATCGTGCGTGCATGCACAATACGCATGTGCATAAACAACCGTGTTAAATAATTGCCATGAGGAGCGAGCCAACACCTAATGGTTCCAACGGCAAGATTATCGTATGTCGTGTAAGTATATACGCATGCGTTAGGATTACGCATATTTATACGCTGCCTAGGGCCTCTCGATATGCGCCGATCTGGCCAGCGAGAGAACTCTCCTCCATTCCACGGCATTCGCTGCGCTCTTCAGTATAATTGTACCTCTTCCAAATCTTCATGGTTCGAAGGTGCAACTTGGAATTAATTAAGCTAGGATTGCTCGTGCAGATACAGTCATTGTGTGTTCGCTCCCGCTCGCCAAAAATGCCCTGCATTCACCCTAGTATGACAGGGTCTTACCCTAGCCAGGTTCGCACAATAAATATATCCAAAAGCGCTTACGCCAAGCCCCTCCCAGCTGCTCCTGCTATATAGCCGTTCCGGGTATAATTATTATATGTGCAATATTTGGGAGGGGCTTGGCATAAGGAGATGGCTTTTGGTTACTATAAAGGTAAAATTCTGTGCGAACCTCCGTTCACTGGCTAGGGTAAGGCCCTGTCATTTATACGGCAATTAGGGTTGCCTCCTGTTCGTTAGAGCAGTTGTGTAGTTGTGCTCTTTTAGTTGTATTCCACAACCAAGACTTTCTAGGGAATTTTGTGCAAGAACTTGGACTTCAATGACAGCAGTGCCTGAGGTGGAATTCGCTTACTCTTCTTGGATTCAGTATATACTTTTCGGCTTCTGTAGACAGCTCCTAAAGGACTTCCTTATTGAATTTTGAGGACTTCCATTTTTTGGAGTTCAATCACAGCAGTGCCCGAGGTGGAATTTCTTGGATTCCGTACTTCTCGGCTTTCGTAGCTCCTAAAGAACTTCCTTAGTGAATTTGAAGGACTTCCATTGCAGATATTTTGGACTTCAATCACAGAAGTG